CCCCCCCCGTATACACACACCCCCCGCACACACACCCCCCGCATACACACACACACCCCACACACACACACCCCGCACACACACACACATCCCGCACACACACCCCGCACACACACACACCTCACACACACACACACCCCGCATACACACACACCCCACATACACACACACCCCGCACACACACACCCCGCATACACACACACACCCCGCACACACACACACCTAATGTACATACCTCACACATATACACACCCCTCACACATGTACACACACCTCACATACCTAATACACACAACTCACACACACACACCTAATATACATACCTCACACATACCACACACACATATACAACCCTTATACATATACACCCCTCACATACACACCTCACATACACACACTTAATATACATACCTCACACATACCACACACACATATACACCCCTTATACATATACACCCCTCACATACACACCTCACATACACACACTTAATATACATACCTCACACATATACACACACCTCACACATATATACACCCCTCAAACATATATACCCCTCACACATACACTTCACATACCTAACACACACCACACAAAAACACATTTAATATATATATAACTGACACACATACATATACCTCATATATGCTCACACCACACACACACTACACATACATCTCATACATGCACACACACCCAAGTCACTGACTTAATTCATAAAAAACCTCTACCACTTGGGGCTACAGAGATGGCTCAGCAGTTAAGAGAACTGACTGTTCTTACAGAGGACCCAGATTTGATTCCCAGAACCCACATGGTGACTAACAACCATCTATTAACTCTAGTTTCAGGTGATCTGACACCTTCTTCTGACCTCCTCAGGCATCACACCACACGGGTGCACTTATATGCAGGCAGTTACATGCAGGCAATACACTCATACACATAAAATAAAAATTAAATAAATAAATAAATAAATAAATAAATAAGAACTCTCCACCACCTCTGACAGCACAATCGGGCCTACAGAGCCCTATGTTAAGTCACTCACACAGACACACGATGTGTTCTCACAGGGGAAATCTGAAAACAGCCGACCTTCTCTAAGCAAAGGATAAACCTGGGGTTTTGGGGGGTGGGGGGGCAGCGGAAGAGCAGCAGAAGTTTTTATTTGCACAAGATGTATGAGCTATGGGGTTGTTGAGTTTAGCAGTTAAGAATGGTTCCTGCTCTTCTAAAGAACCTGAGTTTGGGTCCCAACATCTACATGAGGAGGCTTACAACCACCTGTAACACATGTGGCACACACACTCAGACACACATAAATAAAAATAAACGCTAAAAAAGAAGACATGTAAGTTCTGGGGATCTGACGCACAGCTTGATGACTCTGGTTAACATCACATTTCACACTTGAATCTGTTAAGACAGTTTTTTTTTTTTTTTTTTTTTTTTTTTTTTTTTTTTTTTAATTGAGACAGGGTCTCACCATGTAGACCAGGCTTGAATTCACAGAGATCCACCTGCCTCTGCCACCTGAGTGCTGGGATTAAAGGTTTGCACCACCTCACATCACACCCATCCCTAGGATGGTAGATCTTAGGTGTCTAACAACCAAGAAGTAGAAAAGCAAAGCACAACTATCTGCAGGTGTGATGATGGCTGTGTTAACCTGACTGTGGCTGCATTAACCTGACTGGCAGTATCTCACATGAGACACAGCAGACCATCACATGAAACATCCTAGACACACAGGACTTTGCTAATTAAAACCTAGTAACTTGGAAAATACCACTTAAGCAGTTATTACCAATTTAGTCATCACTGCCATTTATAAAACTCAACTGAAAGTTTCACCAGGCAGGATAAGGTGAGCCCTTTCCCATTCTGTGTTCTTATGAGCAAAACAGGATCCCAGTGGTTGATGCTCTTGGACCTAGGGCTGGTAGAACTTTCACAGCTGTTCTGGAGCCATGGCCAGGCCACCACAGCTGCAGGTCAGGTCACCAGCTGAGTGCACGTATGCACAGGTGGATCAGAGTGCCATCTCTATCTGCAGAGCCCCAAGTCTTCCCAGTAGCTCATTTCTGAGAACGCTGTCTTCCTTTGAGCCACCAAAGCATTTGTTTCTGTTTCTATTATGAAATGTGTCACACAGCGCAGCATCTGTGTCAGAAAGTCTGTTTACTTCTGGAATGCACTTCAGGACGGCCTGGTCTGTGCCTCCTTCATTTGGGGATTTATAGGACTCCGCGCTTGATTCACAGGCTTTTAGTAAACAGACGAGTGGAGCCATGCCACTTCACAAAAACGGAATGCTGGCTGGTAACTGCAGTGCTTTTTGTTCATCCAACAAATACTGAGTGGGCACCGTCAACATGGCACCCAGTAGAGCCAGGGGCAGTAGGTGCCCTAGTTTGCTGCATTGTTGCTGTGATAAAACTCAGGAATAAACGTAACTTAAGGAAGAAAGGACTGATTTCACTTACAGGCTACAGTCCATCATCAAGGAAGCCAGGGCAGGAGCTCAAGACAAGAACCTGGAGGCAGGAACTGAGCAACCCACTGAAGGAACACTGCTTACTGGCTGTGTCCTCTGGCTCACATTCAGCTACCTTTCTCATACAGCCTAGCCCACCTGCCCAGGGATGACACCTCCCACAGTGGGCTGGGCCCTCCGACATCAATTAACAATCAAGAAAATGCCCCACAGATGTGCCCACGGGTTAGTCTGAAGGAAGAAAGTCCTCAGCTGAGGTCCTCTTCCCAAGTGACTCTAGTCTGTGTCAAGTTGACAAACCCTAACCAGCACGGTGGGACCTAAAAAATAGCAAAGTCAAGGGGATGATTAACAGAGAGTCTTTCACATACCCATTAAGTTACTACCCCAAATCCATGATGCTCCAGCATCCACATCAGCAACGTGAACAGGTCATGCCCAAGGCATGGATTCACCGAGGGTAAGCAGTAGAGCCAAGCCCTCGATGGAGAATAACGTTCTCACTGTCTGAGATACCGTGTGGAAAGATGTCCCATGAGAGGCTGCTTCTGTGAAGGTTGTCTATGCCTCCTCACACAGCAACGACAGAACAAAGTCAACGCCTGCCTGCAGGGTGCAGTCCTGTATGTCTCCAAGAACAGGGTATGAAAGCAACACCCGACTCAGAATGAGGAAGGGCTCCTCTCTCCTATGGAGTCCTCTCCTTAGCAGGAGGACAGAACTGTTCCACATTCAGTGTCCTGCCTCAGAGCTCACCTGCAGACGGTGGGCTGGCTGGCTCCTCTTTTCTTCAGTTTCCCGTGGTTAGCTCTCTCCTGTGACCTTCATGGTGCTAGGGGAGGGTTGGTGGGGTGCTTTGGGAGTGACTCGGCTTCACGCAGTAGTTGGGGTAGAAAGGTCACAGCAACACACTGTGCTCCAAAGAAAATTCACTGCATTCTGGTTCATCCTTCCACAGTAGCTGGTCAAATCAGCCTGATTTATGCTTTCTTTTAATGTTTCTGACTCTGATTCTATATTTGCTCAGTGCAAGTCAAAATAAAACCGGTGACTAAGAAAACGTAAGTCTGTATGCCCACTCTGAATATACTTCATGATCAGTCACCCTTGTCTGAAAACTGTGGAGTCATCTTCATTATGAACACATTTTAAGACTGCCAGCAATATAAAATACTGTCACCTTTGTTCACAAAGACATAATACAATCTGCAATCAACATTTTTAAGCAGGAAGTTAAAAGGATTTTTAAAGAACTAGCTTAGGAATTAAGAGCACTAGCTGCTCCTGCAGAGAACCCGGGTTCAGTTCCCAGCACCCACATAGCAGCTAACAACCATCTGTAATTCCAGTTCCAGGGGATCAGACACCATCTTCTGGCCTCCTTGGGCACTGCACGCATGTGGTGCACTTACACACGTATGTGTGTGTGTGTGCGTTTGCAGGCAAAACACACACATAAAATAAAAATAAATATTTAGAAAGATAGTCAATCTTTCCTTGAATAAAGTTTCGATTAAATTTAGGAGTGTGGAAACTCACCCTCTCCTGCCCCCTCCCCTCCCTTCTCTGCTTCCCTCCTCACAGGGTCCCCTCTGTCTGTGCACCATCTTAAGCTCTAGGATATTCTTTGGTATTTCAGTTCTAGTTGAGAGGGTTGGATAAAGGTGCATTGCTTTAAGTGGGGGCATAACATATAGTCCAGACACTCATGAGGCTAATAACTGTGATATTATGCTCAAAGAACTAGCCTATCAGGCATATGACCAAACTGAATGACCATTAACGTTATGGGAATTAGAAAGAAAGGCAGTTCATGGCAAGTTACGCCCGACACTCACCACTCCTTGTTACTATGAACCCTCCCAAATGTGCATGTCCAACCAGAAAGCTGACTTTCAATGTCTGCTTATGTGTTTCTGGACATGTCAGGAAAAAATTAAAAGGTTAATGGCTGGTTAATAACAAGGTTCACTGAGTTCCCATTCAGCATGCATTAACTGGTCCCTGGGCAGAGGTCAACAACTGAATTAAACAGTCTTTATTCCGATTTTAAAAAAGGAGAAGTGGAGAAGGCAATGATTTCTGCTCAGATCAAAATCCCCAGGTTAAACCATGCCTGGAAACAATAATCCCAAATACCGTATGACGCCAAATCACTTTCAGAGCAACGCCCGCCCTCCCACTCCACTCCGAAGGTCGCAGGCAGCTCACCATGGGAAACGGAAGGAAAGAGGAGCCAGCCAGTGCGGAGCTAAGCCCGCCACGATCTGCAGGTGTCACTCCAAGGTACTGAGGAACTGCAGCAGACTGAATCGTCCCAACACATCTCCCACTCCAGCCCTGGGCCAGGGGGATCAGAGGGCAGGCTTGGAGTTAACGCTGCCTCACAGCTCACAGGAGAGTTGACAGCCAAGTTCACTTACGTGGCTTCACATTAGCCATCACAGCCAGGCTTTCTGGTGAGTGTGCGGCGGAGTGCCTGTTGTGCTCCCCTGAGCCAGGATTGCTGCTGTACTCGATCACGTCCACTTGTCCTAGAGGGACACTCCACTTAAGCAGATACCTCTGGCTCATCACAGCATGGCTTTCATGAGAAGTCCTGAAACAATCAGAAAGCTGTTACTTTATGAATTACTATGGGGGCAAGTTTCCATCCTCCCGTCCCTCCCATGTCCTTGAACAGCGTTCTAACTGCTGAGTCATGGCGCTCCACTTAAGCAGATACCTCTGGCTCATCACAGCATGGCTTTCATGAGAAGCCCTGAAACAATCAGAAAGCTGTTACTTTATGAATTACTACGGGGGCAAGTTTCCATCCTCCCATCCCTCCCATGTCCTTGAACAGCATTCTAACTGCTGAGTCATGGCACTCCTGACCCTCCTGCAAACTGTGGTCACCGGCCCCATCTAAGGCCTCCAGCCCCACGGGCAAGGACGGCTCTTAACATGCTCTCACCCAGAACCTGAGAAAATGTACAGCAATGTACGGAGGAAAAATACCCCAAGTGGGCAGAAGGTAATCTGACTGCTTCCTCTGGGTTCACCTTGACACCCCCCTTATCTCGATGTAGTTACTGACAACTATGTTAATATAATTAAATCATACCATCAGACTTGTTGAGTCTACAGAAATGAAATGAAAAGCATAACCTATATGTCTTCTTCTATCACAACATGGAACACAGACGCCCAGAAGCATACACTACACCTGTCACCAAAGCAACATGCCACTAGCTGATCTGTGCCGCTTAATACAGACATGTGGAGCCTAGCGTGATGATGGTGAGGCAGTGGGCCTGCACCTTGTGCAGGTGTCACTGAGATGGCACACTCTCCAGACTCACTTTGTAGTTAACGCTGCGGAGCGGCTCTGCAGCTCTGCACACACACACTGTGATGGTCACATTGCTGAGGGTGCTCACCTTGAAAGCCCCCAGAGAGCATTCATGTTGCCATCCTGATCCTTGTGATCATTGCCCTTCATTTGCTGATGAGGAGCCAGAGACCCGGGGAGCAGGGTGACCTCCTTTCGGCTGGGACTTCGTGGTGGTAATGGGAGGGCCAGCCATTTCCTCCCAGTGGGGGTGAAAATGTCATGTGATACTGGTGTGCTGCTACATGGTTCCCTGTGCCATGCTACTCACCTCCCATGGTGCAAGCACCTGCTGGACCAACACAAGCTACTAAAGGCTAGCTCCTTCCCGAAGCTCCTGAAAAGCTAGCAGTTCCAAGCAGGCTCTACCTCAGCCCACGCTATTTCAGAAAGGACCAAGGACATCAAGCTCAATGTTAAACCAACTCTCTTATGCTCTACCTATGTTAAAGGACCCCATCTTCCCGGTACCCTTAGCTTACTGCAGTGGCTCTGTGCTGGGGAACAGATGCCGATGTCAACCTGCGTTAAGCAAAGCCACTGGGACTAGATATGGACAGACCCAACTGCAAATATGTAAGAAAAATAACCAAAAATATACTTAGAGAAGCAGCTTAAAAGAGAGTTGGAATAACAGAGCTACAGAGTGACTAGGGAGACGAGAGTACTCAGCTCAGGGCCAACTACACCAGCTGTGTGAGTTCACCCACGTGCTTGATCCCACCAGCAGAGACCCACTGACCCAAAGAATTCAGCCATAACTCCAGTATGTAAGGGGGACAGCTCATGAGGCTCCACCCCTAGCGGAGGAGCTACTGGTGACTGATGGCAGCCAGTAGAGGGAAAGTCATCCTGGAGAGACTGTCCATGCTCCAGTAGATGGTCCTAGACCCAGCCCATACAGGCAGCACTCGGTGGGCTCAGTGGGTTTAAAAACAAAGCACATCAAGTTGGGAGGGAAAAGTGGAAGAGGCTAATCGAAGGGGACAGATTGAGGGGTAGATTTGATCTAAATAAATATATGAAATCTTCGGTAAAAAGAATTTTTTTAAGCTGGGCATGGTGGCACACACCTGTAATCCCAGTACTCCGGAGGGAGAGACAGATGGATTTCTGAGAGATCAAGGCCAGCCTGATCTACATAGAGAGTTCAAGGCCAGCTGGGGCTCCCAGGAGACTCTGTCTCAACCTACCCTCCACCTGACACACATAAAAAAAGAATTCTTAAAAAAATCAGCTCACAGGGCTGGAGTAGAGCTCAGTGCTAGTGCTAGACTTTGCCTTGTATGTGTGACACTCTGGGCTCCATCCCCAGTACTGCAAAAGCAGTAGTCATCGTCGTTATCATCATCATCATCATCAATCATGATTGTCATCATCATCAATCATCATCGTTATTATTATCATCATCATCAATCATGATCGTCATCTCATCATCATCATCATCAATCACCATCGTCATCATCATCAATCATGATCGTCATCACTATCATCATCATCAATCATGATCATCATCATCATCATCATCATCAATCATGATTGTCATCATCATCAATCATCAGCGTTATTATTATCATCATCATCAATCATGATCATCATTGTCATCATTATCAATCATGATCATCATCATCATCATCATCATCAATCATGATTGTCATCATCATCAATCATCAGCGTTATTATTATCATCATCATCAATCATGATCGTCATCACCATCATCATCAATCATGATCGTCATCACTATCATCATCATCAATCATGATCATCATTGTCATCATTATCAATCATGATCATCATCATCATCATCATCATCAATCATGATCGTCATCACCATCATCATCAATCATGATCGTCATCACCATCATCATCAATCATGATCGTCATCACTATCATCATCATCAATCATGATCATCATTGTCATCATTATCAATCATGATCATCATCATAATCATTACCATCATCAATCATGATCGTCATCATCATCATCATCATCAATCATGATCATCATCATCATCATCATCAATCATCATCATCATCTTGATATGAATTTCCCTTAATTAAGGGTCTAAGTTTGGCCACAGCTCAGTTCAGTTCAGTTCAGAAGACAAACTAAACACAATTTTTCCCTTTTTCTCTGATGTACAAAGCACACCACTGTGAGGCCAGAGTGTGATGTGGACTGGTTCTTACCGGGAACTGGCCGTAGCGCACATCAGCACATCGTTCAACATGAAGAGTCGGCGTTCTTTGGTCTTAACAATTTCTCCCCTGTCATTGTAAACTGTTTCAATGACATCGTCGGAGCGGATGAGGTACCGATTTCCACTGCTGAGGAGCTGAACATTCAAAAGGAGACCAATGGTCACTACAACTGTGTTCACTGCAAGCGGAAGGAATGGGGCCGCCCTCAAGATGGGAGCTTAGTGCCAAGTTTTATGGCTTCTTTTCTTTAAGGAGGATCCATGACTCCTACTCAATCCTCACATGAGCTTCTGGCTCAGAACATGACTTTACATGTCTTACAGGCATCAGTATCTGAAGTTGTTCTAAGCAAGAAAAGAGCTGACTTTCCAGTGCCTGCAACTTCTGCAGCTAAGACTTTGACTGGCAAAGGCACCTCACTCCCGTCCACCTGTCCTTCCATTCATGTCCTCTCTGCACATGCCTCTTTCCATCACTCTCATTTGTGAACCACTAACCCATTCTGCAGTCATAGCCTCCCAGCAGCCAGGAAGCCCTAGGAGGTAAAGGAGCCACTCAGCTATTGACTTTCCCAAGGCAAACCTAAGTAAATGTGTATGTTGGCATCTGAACTTCCTTCTGTGGTGTTGTTTTGCCATTACCAGGAATTGAACCTGGGATCTTGTGCATGCTGCTAGGGTGCTCTACCACTGAGCTACATCCCCCAGCAGTAGTATCTGGACTTCTTATCATCTGCCACGCTCTAATTCACTAGCTAGACAGAAAACCATCAGTTCCCTAGAAGGATGCTCTGTGCAGATCAATAAGTGTAAGTTATTTCATAACAGGAAACGCAGGGCCCTCAGTCAAGACAGCTGCTGCTACTGTCCGACTCTAACCTATGCTAACTGCTCAGTTTTCGGCCACTGTTGAATTGCCAGCCTCATAGATGGTCCTCATGTTCTGTGTACTACAACAAGGTCACAGGTGAGCACCACCAGGTCCCAGTGCTTTTTCTTCCAGTGCACTCAACAGCAAGCACAGGTTTAAATCCACAAACTGTATCAAGAGGATAAATGACTGTAGTTCAAATCCCACAGTCACCGAGAGAATCAGAGAAATGGCTTCCTAAAACATACTACCATAAAGTCATCATGGGTAACTACCAGACATCAGAATCTACTAGGAAATAGCCTGGCAGAGACGAGAATGCCATGTTAGCAACAGTGAAAGCCTGTGCTGCTTACCACAGCTCCTAGAGAACAGACTCCTCACCATGGACAGGGCCTCAACTGACAGTCAAGTCTCCTAGAGACTGACTCCTTCCTGTGGACGGGCCTTAAATGACCCCTCAGAGCTCATACACACTGATTCCCTCCCGTGGACGGAATGCCTACACAGGTCAGGTCTGTGGTATGCTGCAGGAAAACACTTCTGTAAACACAAAGTTCAAGCACAGCCTTGTCATGGAGCTGCTCGGTACTCTACAGTAGGTTTCCACCATATACACAGCTTAGCAGAGGTAAGTACAGGCAAACTGCTCTTTAAAATAGAATGTGAGGTTTTAGGCCAGGCATGGTGGTGCACGCCTTTAATCCCAGCACTCGGGAGGCAGAGGCAGGTGGATCTCTGTGAGTTCAAGGCCAGCCTGGTCTCCATAGTGAATCCAGGACAGCTGGGGCTACAGGGAGACCCTGTCTCAAAAAGACAAAAAAAAAAAAAAAAAAAAAAAAAAAAAAAATAGAATGTGAGGTTTTGAAAGTAAAGCAGGAGTTGCTCTTAACCTTTTTGGGGTCCTTGCACCCATCTGAGGAGCCACTGAAACCTATGAACCCTTTTTATATGAAGATGTGTGGGCAGTCATGGCAATGCAGGCAGCCCCTTGAGTCCCGCCCTTCACCCACAGCTCCACACCCACCCCAGTTAAAGACTGGTCCCAGGGAGTGATCCTAGGGATCAGTACTGAGCGGCTGGATCCTAACACTGGCCTATCAGTATGAAGCAGAAATACTTTGTGCAGAGCAGAGCACGGTGCCCCAACCTTGTTCAGGTATCTTTCATTTATGGACTTTGCAATCTGTTTGACTTCGCAGCGCTGGTCAGCATCTCTTTTTCTTTCATTCAGCTTCTCTGCTAAAGTCTCGAGCTCTGTCAGTGCCATCTGAAGGGGCAGCCTGTCGGGATGTCCTTTGGCCGTATTCTTCAGCATGTCCTGTGAGCAGAATGGGGGTGGTCAGCACAAGCCCAGCAGTTAACAGACCACTCTCACAGCCTCTAACAAGGGAGAAGACCCCTAGGACCCATCTACTCCTTCCTCTTGGCCTGTCATTAAAAGGACAAGCACACACTCATGGATGTACCTGCAGCAGGAGGATGAACTGTGGGAACCTCTGGATGGGCCTCATCATCAGGCTGTGGAGTGTGACTCTGTCTGAACTGGACTCCTGGCTTTGCTGTAGGGAAGAATGGCAGGCTTAGTGTGGGTGGTGGCCCAACCTGGCCATGTCCTTGCCACACAGAGGGTGAGGGTGACTGACAGGCCACTACAGACCTGTGTCTTTTCAGTTCCATCAAGAAGGAAATGTTTGAGCACCTGTAGAAAACACTTTTAACCCTAACTCTGGGGAGAACCATCTGTTGTCACTTGCCCTATGGAGGGCCCTGCCTGGCTGTCTCAGGGTCTGTTGTGTTTCCCATTGTCCCTGGGGGTCCATACTGGCCAGTCTACTCCAAAAGTTGTTTGTTCTTTCCACTGCTTTGGAGCAGGTCCCTCCCAGCACATGTCCTCCCTGGCTGGCCTCTCCTAGCCTCCTGGGAGATGTCACTACAGGACCACTGACTGCCCGAGGCCATGGGATGGCCCTGACCCTGGGGCTGCACCCGGGACATCTCTGAATAACAGCCCACATAGTGAAGGGCACTGCACAGTGCACAGCAAGGTTTAGCCAGGCCTAGACCCAAAGTTGTGGCCCCTAGAGAGAAGGGCTGTGATCGTCGCCATGTCATAGTTTATGTCAGCAGTCACTTCCTCACAAAATCCGCAGAGAAAATCAGTCTTTAACTCAGCCACGTTTGTGTTTGGCCCAAGGGAAAGAAACCCAGGGACAGCACAAGGACACAGAGAGGGACACAGAGAGAGCCACAGCTCTAGCTGGTAGAGGTTTAACCCCTGGGTTATCACAGCAGGGACCACTTGCTATGTTCAGTAGAAGGGAGGAAGGGAAAGTATCCCACCTTAAATAAAACATTGGTGTTGGCAAGAACACTTGCCCTGTGTTCCCTCACCCCAGGCGGCAGTTACAACCCAAGTAACGAGAGAACACAGAGTTCCAAGGTCTTACATGTGAATAAGACTGAGGAGGGATGCCCAGGGGCCTTGAAGTGGACTTTGATCGGGTTCTGTGTGGGGCAGCCCCTCCTAGGCCTTTACATCCAGGCCTCTAAGCCCCACACACAGGCCAGTGCCTTATCAGGGAATGGTTCTCCATCATGGACAGGTATAGGGCAGCAAGGACCTAGGGCTCTCTGTGCCTGACATCAGGAGGCACAAAGCCTAAATCCCCCAACGTGGGGTCTTCCTTCTGGGGCCTTCCCAGTCTGTTGGAGACCTCTGTTATGCAAAGTAGAAGTCCCTTCACGACTGGACAGCTCATGCAGCTCGGGATCATGGGGTGGTGGCTCTTTTCATAGCAGGGTGTCTCCCTGGCATCTTCCCTGTCTCTCCTTTTGAAGTGTCCGCCACAAATGCCCTAACATAAACATGGCCTTTGGCTCTGAAAGGTACCATGCCTTCCTGTAATTTCTCCAGGCAGACAGCAGTCTGGCAGAAACCCACTTCCATATGTAAATAGAATGCCTCACAAAGCATCTAACAGCCAAAGCTTTTACCACTACCCCCATGGTATAAGTATCCTAGTCTTCTCTTAATAGACAGAGAGCTGGGTCACAGAGCTGCTGAAATACTGAGAGCAGAGACATTTAATAAAGCTGTAACACAGACTAAGCCGAGTCTTGAGTTCTGTGCCTTACTACCGGTGACCTAGCCTCTCCTGGGGGCGCACTCCCCCGTGACCGACTTGCGGACATCCTGGCTTTCGCTGTCCTCGTACTCTTCCCGTGGGGTTCAGTGGCCAGTGGACCTCGCATCCTGAGGAAAAGTATACGGGTGGAAAAGGGACAGGATTTCGGCTGGACAATGCTCCAGTAGCAGAGAGGCTGTCAGCACCGGAGCGGCGGGCAACAACCTATCTGCTGCCGCTCCCAGAGACTCCGGTGGCCAGAGCCGTGCCGTGACTCGCCAGGTGTGGCGGGGACCCGGAGATACCCGTGCACACCACGCCTGAGGCCCATAGAGACACAGAGAAGCCCGCAGGACCAGACCTGCTTTCCTCCAGACGCACGGCGGGAGAGTGCCATTCCGGGAGTGCGCCCAGAGAGCGCACGCGCACCATACCAGTCCTTGGCTTACTACTCTGCCTAGGGATGGGGGAGCACTTTCCAACCCCTAATCTAGATGTGGGTTCCCATTATCCCCAACACCATGCTGCAGATGGTGGGCAGACCCAGGCAACTATGGGCTCTGATTGAATTTCCCTTTTATCTATCTGTATAACCATACATTTTATCTATTTATTTATTTATTCTTTTTGAGGCAGGGTCTCCCTGTAGCCCCAGCTGGCCTGGAACTCACTATGTAGACCAGGCTGGCCATAGCCATACATTTTTAAGATGGGTGAATAAAAGTCCCTTCAAAAAGCTACGTTAGGGACTAAAACTCTAAAATCCCCCGCTAGCCTACACTGATATCTGGGGCTGGCACTGAATATTTACAGTGAACAGCGTCGCACATTCAAAGCAGGGTGTGGTTTCATCGCAGTATACTTTGACATGGAACTTGTTATGAGTCAGAGTTGAAACCCAAAGGTGGAAATGTGCTTACCTTTAAAAACTCAAGGAAAGCGGGCTTTGTGGCGCACGTTTTCTTGAGCACTGCCACAGCTGTGCTGAAGTTATTTACATACTCACTGTAGGCGTCCAGCACCATGGACTTGGAAAACTAGAACACAGAGGCAGAGAAAGAAAGGGTTTGAACATGCCCTCCAGGATGCTGAGGCATGGGACAAACTATGATAACTACACGGAGCCTTTTCTTTCTGCATGGTTACATGAAACTTGGTACCCACCTGGCCGGGCCTTGCTGGGTTGACCCCAACGCACTTGCCGGAGTCCCTGCTCAAAACTACACTTTGAGTTTTGGTTGCAAATATTCCTGGCTGCAGAGAGGCAGACAGCCACTGCAAGTTCCTACCAGGCCTCCCTTGGTGGATACAGCCGCCAAGAGAGTAACGATTATTTTGTGGTGATCCCAACAGCCTCCCCTGGGATACAGCTTCCCTCAGAAACTCAGGGTAGGGCTGACGGTTTCACCAACACCCATGCTATGTGTTAGATCAAATTATGTCTTGTTCTTCCACAAAGACACAATGTGCCTGACAGGACTGTGCTCTCAGCTGAACTTTGGGGGGGGGGGTCTGTCTGTCTGTCTCTCTCTCTGTGTGCACGCTACATGTGGCATCCACGTTTGTGGGAGCATGCATGCACTTTTCATGTTTTCATGTTTGGCGTCTGGCGTCTTTGGTTACTCTCCACCTTATAGACTGAAGCAGGGTCTCTCAAGCCCAGAGCCCATCATTTCAGCCAGGGATCCACCTTTGCCTCCCAACACTGGCACTACAGGTGGGCCAGCACACCCACTCAACATCTGCATGGATACTGGGGACCCGAGCTCTCCAGTCTTTATATTTGTACAAGTCCTTCACCTATTGAGCCATCTCCTCCAAACCCAAATCCCTAATCTTTGATTTTGTTGGTTTTTGTTGTTTTTTGGGGTTTTTTTTGTCTTTTTGGGACAAGGTCTCCCTGTAGCCCCAGCTGGCCTGGAACTCACACAGGTCCTCCTGCCTCTGCCTTCCAAGTGCTGGGATTAAAAGTGTGCACCACCACGCCCAGCATTTTTGTTGTTTTTTTTTTAAAGACTGCTCCATCTTAAACCATGTTTGAAAGGTAAATAATTCTGAAGCTAACCCATAACATAGGTAGTAATGTAAAAATAAGTCATTTTGCAGCTGGAGAGACAGCTTAGTGATTAAGAGCACCAGCTGCTCTTACAGAAGACCCAGATTCAATTCCCAGCACCCACATGGCAGCTAATAACCACCCATAACTCCAGTTCCATGGGAATCCAACATCCTCTTCTGATTTCTGTGGGCACTGAACTACACAGGTGCACTTACATACATGCAGGCAATACACTCATAAATAAAAATAAATAAAATATTTAAAAGAATAGCTCATTTCTTTTTTGTTTGTCATAGGATCTGGTAAGTGTCCACCTAAGTATTTTAGAAAGCACTTTGTTTCTGAGATGGCTTCAATATCTACTTCATCAAGTATTCCTACAAACTACACGGAGGAAAGGGCTCAGCGAGCACTCATGCTCAGAAGACTGAAGCAGGCTATCTTGAGTCTGAGGCCAGCCAATATTCTGTCTCAAAAAATATAACAATGCTACAATGGCTTAGTGGGTAAAGGCACTTGCTTCCAAGCCTGATGACTTGAGTTCAAGTCCCAGGATCCATATGGTGGAACTGACTCCCACAAGTGTCCTTTGACCTCCACAGATGTGCCATGGCACATACTCAACATACTCAATAAATAAAACACAATAATAAAAATAAACAACCAGAGCCAAGTGTGGTGGTACCCATCTTTAATCCCAGCACTCAGGAGGCAGAAGCTGGCAGATCTCTGAGTTCAAGGCTAGCCTGGTCTACATAGTGAGTTCCAAGCCAGCTGGTGCTACAGTGAGACCGTCTCGAAAAGACCAAAAAAAAAAAAAAAAAAAAAAACCATATAAATAAATAAATAATAATAAACAAAGAAACAAGCATGACTGGAAAGAGGGCTCAGCAGTTAAGAGCACTGGCTGCCCTTGCAGAGGACCCGGGTTCAAATGCCAGCACCCACATCATGGCTAAAAACATTCTGTAACTCCAATTCCAGGGGAATTTGATGCCTTCCTCTGACCTCTGCGGGTATCACATGACATAGATGCAATTACATACATACAGGTAATATACTCACACACATAAAATAAAAATAGTAAAATAATAAATGATAAAAATAATTCTTGAAAGTTTCCTATGTAACTGATGCAGCATCACGTAAGGGTTTTTTCACAAACATTCATGCCTACACCAACTGGAAGCCTTCTTACCTTAAATAATCACAGAACGGATTCTCTTTGTCCAGAGCTTTCTATGCGTGCACACAGTATACAACCAGAACACAAAGATATATGACTCCCAACTGATGACAGAGAAACTCTGCCCTGTTTTCCAGGCAGCTGCTTCTGCTAACAGGAAACGTTACCTGCAGCTGTCCCAACATTAGATTCCTGTGTCACTCTGCAGGATTGAAGCCTCAGTCTACACCACAAAACATCCAGGTCAAAGAGCACAAGTTTGAGGAAAATATCCTGGCATTTTCCCACCAGTTTCCCCTGTTCCCAGGCATAGAGAACTTTGTGTACAGAACATGAGGCATTCGTCAGGTGGAGAGGGCCCGGAAGTAATATCACTAAGCCAGGAGGGCCCTCACTCAACAACAAAGACATAACTCAGTTATATGATGGTGCAACCAAAACTTGACTAAGCGTGCATACTAAAACCTCTACAAATGTGTCATTTGTCCCGAGGCACTATATGGTCCTCTTGGTCCCCTAGAAAGTGGCTCCCAATCCTTCCCCAAAGGTGCACACTGGGCCAGGGCACTGTCAATCAGCATGCATCCCATAGGCTCTGAGGTTCTGGGAAGAGCTTCAGGCAGGCTGAGGTCTGCTGAATTACCGAGGCCACAAAGACATCACCGATCGTTTCCACGGCATCCCACTCAGACACTCGGCTGGCCAGTGCAATCTGGAACATGGAGTGGCACTGCAGGATCTCTTTGACGCGATAGAACACCATCCTGAGTTTCCTCTCACTCAGAAGCCGAGGCTCCATCTCTGACAGTGGCTTCTCATATTGCTGTGACAGAAACAGCCCAGGGAGATGAAGGAGTTATTCTTTTTTAATTATTATTATTTTTATTTTATGTGTATGCCTGTATTGCCTGCACGTAGGTAAGTGCACCTGTGTTGTGCAATGCCCACGGAGGACAGAACAAGAGATTGTCGGATCCCCTGGAACTGGAGTTACAGACAGTTAGCTGCCATGTGGGTGCTGGGATTTGAACCCGGGTCTTCTGCAAGAACAGTCAGTGTTCTTAACCGCTGAGCCATCTCTCCAGCCCCGAAGGAGTTTTTCTTATTTTGAAATGAATCATGTGACTTTCTATGTCAATACACAGGCACAATATTTATACTTTTGGGAGAGTTTTTCAAATATGCATATTTTAAGTCATAAATTATATGCATACAAACATACAATAAAAAGCATGTAAAAATGGGCAAGAAAAAGTGTATAAAGTGCACAGCACAATGCTCAGTACCTCCAGGATCCTTTTAAGAGCAGCCACATAGTTCTTTTCACTTTCAACAATGGAACCCAGAACATATCTTCTTACAACCTGTTGGATATTTGAAAATAAGATGGGAGAAAATTGTTTCAGAATACACAAAGATAAATTTCACTTCCATGTTAAAATTTATTGATTTTAAAAGATTTGCTGAAAACAGAGATTTGCTGAGCGATGGCTCAGTGGAGAAGAGCACTGGCTACTCTCGCAAAGGGCCCAGTGTGCTGGCTAGATTTAGTGAACTTGACACATCTGGTTCAAAGGAGCCTCAACTGTGAACTGTCTCCACTGGGAGGTGCCATCCTTGGGCAGGTGGTTCTGTATTGTGTGAGAAAGCAGGCTGAGTACAGGCCAGGGTAGCAAGTCAGCAGACAGCATTCCTCCATGGTCTGTGCTCCAGGTTCCTGTCTCGGCTTCCCTTGATGATGAACTCTGCTGTGAGCCAAATAAACCCTTTTCTCTTCAAAATATTTTATTTATTATTTTTATTTTATGTGTACTGCCTACATGTGAGTGCACCCATGTCATCCAATGCCACGAAGGTCAGAAAAGGGCTTTGGATTCCCCTGGTACTGGAGTTAAGGACGGTTCGTAGACGCCATGTGGGTGCTGGGAATTGAACCCGGGTCCTCTGCAAGAGCAGTCAGTGCTCTTAACCGCTGAGCCATCTCTCCAGCCCCAATAAAAAATATTTTAAAAAAGAAAACAGCAAGTAAAGAAAACCTCTGAGGAGATATTCTAAATGATGTCTTAACTTGTGTAACAAGTATAAAATGTACATCTTTGTTCACACAATCTCTTAAACCTCAAATTATAAATTATAACTGCAGTGAACAAAAAGAAAATTCAATCACTTATGCAACAAAAATTATCTAAACTAATCTGATGCCTCGTAGGTGCCTAATATTAATACAGTACTTCAGTACATAACTTCAGCATAGAAGGTTTCAGTCTTGGGGCTGGGCAGATGGCTCAGTGGTTAGGAGCACCGACTGCTCATACACAGGACCCAGGTTTGATTCCCAGCACCCACGTGGCAGCTAACAACCATCTGTAACTCCAGTTCCAGGGGAATCTGACGCTTCCTTCTGACCTCTGTGGGCATTGCATGACATGGGCACAATTACACACATACAGGTATAACGCTCATACACATAAAAATAAATAAAATATTCTTTTTAAAGTTTCAGTCTTGATCAAATAAGGATACTATAAACAATGACCTAAAATCATTATTCTTAAGTTATAGAAAAACAGAAAGCTTGTGGGAGGTGGAAGAACAGATTTTATTTTCTCTTTTGCAAAGATCTCGTAACCATGCAAAGACACACCTATGTGGCATGCCAACTCTCCTGTCATGTAGCAGTGCAAAACTGTCTGCATATGAGGTGCTTGCCTTTGAAATACAGTATTTTCTGATCTGGTTTTTCGTTACTGAAGCACATTAAGCACCACTTGGGGCTGGAAGCTGCCCACAAAAGGCAATGGTGTCTGCCGCCTTCATTGCCCTGACCCCACCTCGGCCAGGACCATTTGCCAATAAATGGAAAATAAGGTGTGACATCACAGTAGTTTCCTTTAAACCAGAACGAATGAACGAACACACACACACACACACACACGACATACATACAGGCACACATCAGAATACTGGAGGCAAAAACACTTGCTAAATGACACTATCTGAAGACACTGCAGTGCCACCTAGTGGGCTGACAGACCATTTTCTACACAGAAAATTCCTGCAGTTAAGATTCCAGAGCAGCCATGATTTAGGAAACGTTAACAAGAGAACCATTATTCTCTTTACAAAAAGGATTACATACTAGATCCACAAAACCAAGGACACAATAAGCCATTCTAGGATATCTAAAGAAGCTGATGTATGTGTGGGGGCGTGTGTATGCATGCTTATGTGTAGAAATGTGTGTGTACGTGTGACACAGAAAATTCCTGCAGTTAAGATTCCAGAGCAGCCATGATTTAGGAAACATTAACAAGAGAACCATTATTCTCTTTACAAAAAGGATTACATACTAGATTCACAAAACCAAGGACACAATAAGCCATTATAGGATATCTAAAGAAGCTGATG